AATGTCCCTTGCCTTGTATGATGCAGCTAGAGCTGCCTGATACTGGTTGGACTGAGGGACAGAACCATCAGTTGCAGCCAGTACTGTTAGTGGGTCGGCCCTCGCTCTCGCGATGAGCTCATCTAGATATGGACGCCTATCCTGGGTAGGATCGTGCTCGTCAAAGTGGAGCCAGTCTGCATAGCGGTCCAGTAACCGATCACCTGGGTGAGCTTCGGGCACAAAGGGCTCGAAGCTCTCAGTTAAGGTGTGGATGCACTCATCCACCTCCATAACGGTGGCATTCAAAGCCAGTTCCTCCCACCAATACACCATTGATCATAATAGGCCTGTCCAGAGTGACCTGGCTTTTGTCCCCCATAATCTCATCACGGGGACGGAGGAGGTCCTCTCTGAGAGTCTGGTTGAGTAGCCTCATACTAAGATATATGGTGTCAGAATCATCTCTTAAAAGAAAAGAATATGATTTACCCATCAAAACACCATGCAACAATTAGATCCTTTTCAGATTCAACATTTCCAATAGGTCTAGCATATATAATAGTGCCATCGGTGATACAAAATAGTCCTGACAATTAGGTGTTAATGACTCAGCATAATTAGAGCATACCATATTGTTTCATAAGGTTATCAGGTCCAAGAGGCACATATAATTTATTTTCCCAACTGTACATAGAGTGGAGGGCTTCATCAGATGTGTCTTGAATGTAAACCAGAATTCTCTTGACATACTGCCAGTGTAGGATGAGCGGATGATCTGGTACTTCATAAATATAAGGAAAATTGGCATGGCGGGAAGGCAAGGATATAAGTGTGCCATTAGGGACAACAAATCTGGGGTCTGAGGGTCCCTGAAGATTCATAGAGGGCCCGACAAAGGGATAGACCACCGAAGAAGAGGCTGGAGAAGCCATTGGCGGTTGTGAAAGAAGAAGGGGCTGCACAAACGTCACAAGTATTTGTAGAGAGCCAAACAAATGACGCACGAAAACTCTCTGAGAGTTTTTGTGTGTCATAGGTCACACGCAGATGTCAACTTTGGACCACTGGCCTGCACGCTCCAACCACCTCTGGTGACTTCGCCATCAGCAGGCTCCTCCCACCATCTAGTGCCCCCAGGGGCCATCCAACAATGCTGGTGTTGCACCAACCACCACCTACTTGCCCTCCTCACCCTCTGCTGCTGCCTCTCGCCCATCCAACACCCCCAGGGGCCGTCCAACGACGCCCCTAGTGCACGAACGAGCTTGAACTTCAGAGTTCGGGCTCGTTCACGTGTGTTCTCACCCCACCGCCCACCTGCTTCGCCCCACCACCACCCCCTCGCCCTCCTGCCCGCTGCTGCCGCCTCTCGCCATCCGACACCTCCAGGGGCCATCCAACAACACCCCTGGTGCACGAACGGCCCCGAACTGCGAGTTGGGGTTCATGTGTGCTTTTCGCCGCCGCCCACCTGGTTCGCCCCACCACCACCCCTTCGCCCTCCTCGCCCTCCGCCGCCGCCTCTCGCCATCCAACACCCCCAGGGGCCATCCAACGATGCCCCTGGTGCACGAACGGCCTGGAACTGCGACGTTCAGGGTCGTTCCCGCTCGTTTTGCCTCTGTGACCTCCCCCCTCTCCTTGTATCTTGTCTGTACCATAATTGTATCTAGCTTTTTCTTTTGTTAAATATGAACATTATGTATTTATTCATTCATCTGACATAAGTATCAGCAAAGGCCTTCAACCCTCAGAGCCACTTAGGACTTTGCACCGTCCTTTGTTTGCTTTAGAGGCACAACAAATACAAGTATGCATTTGTCTACATTGCCAGCAAATTGCTTTCTTCTGATCTCTTCCTCATCTTCTTACCATCTAGCTCCTTTCTTCATCCCTCCAGGGCATATTTGATAAGTGGATACGGTACTGAACCGATTCACTCTTCTCTGAGCCCAATCTATCTTCTTTCTATTCATCAGCAAGCTCCTTTCAAGCTTTGAATATGGTACCAAACCAATTCAAGCCCCCAGACATTTGGACCTTTAACATGCCAATTCCCATTGCGTCAGTCTATGCCCTTGAGATATCTGATAGCCCACTGCTAAACCAGGTTGTAGCCAGGGAAGGGTCCTTGTTTTAAATGGGCACATCATTTATTCTCCTAACAGCACCTTGGACATTGCTCTTCCTGCTCCAGATCCTGACAAAGGAAGGTTCAACAATGTCTTCAAGCAAAAACATGACAATCCTTCCTGGTACTTGCAACCCAGGTGGTGGAACTTAAGATGGGGATGGATGGCATTCATTCCTCAGCACCCAGTTTTTACTGGAGACTTGTTTGGTGTCTTGTCCCACCTGCCTTATCCTGTCTTAATGCAAGAAGGCTATACTATTCCGCCATCTTATGGTGAGCACTGGGCTGCTCTGGAACATTACCTGTCCACAGTAGCCAGTTCTCTACGACAGCAGTACAGGCTCCCATCAATGCAGCCTCCATGCGTATGGACTCAGGGTTACAATCGCCACTTCAAATCATTTTACGCCTCACAAAAGGCCATATCCGCCTCAAGAGACTGGTTTAGAGTTTGGATAGGCTTTGTGTCCTATCTTGTTGCAATGGCGCAGTGGAAGGAAGTCTCAAAATCATCTTCATCTATTCCTTCTCTAGTTATCAACAACTGGTACCACCACCTCGTCAAAAAAGGTTTTTCAGAAGCTTGGCTACAGTCTCTGTATCAATCAATTGTTTGCACCTTTGAGCATATCATACCTCGAGCTGGCGTATTCATCTATCTTCCTCGAGAAGAATTACAACCCTCACCAGAATGGTTTCAGCAATTAGGCATTCCAATCTGGTATGAATGGACAAACATCCACACTTCAAATAAAGCGCTAGAGCCTTGGGCCCCTCCAGCAATTCTCCTACAAGAAGCCCACACTATTGTTTTCCAGGCCCCAAAATTTCAACAGAATTCAATCAATCTTTTTGACAATACAGAAATTTTCAAGTCCTCACAACCTTTCAATGTATTATGGAATGCATACCGTGGCAGACAGGCCATATACGAGAAGGAATGCCAGAAGTGAGAACAACCTTTAGATTGTCAAGTCCGTCTAGCCAGAGCGAGGGTGGGAGTGAAACTACACAAAACGGCTAAAGTCGTCTCCTAACACGGACCGCCAAAGAACCGCGTGGCACGTGAATGATGGAACAAACCCAAACCCATAGGGAGGTTGTGTTGGATGCCGGTCACATGAACGGCTGCTTTCAGGAGCTAGGGCGTTACTATGTGCGAATATACGTGATCTTATGCTTAGGTATATCGAAGCCCTGATTAGTGTAAATAGTTACGGGATGTCACGATAATTGGTATGATCACGGACACTTAGGGTATTACTTAGGTCACGCCGCTGATAGCCTGAGGATTGGATGTTCCCTTACGTTCATGTACAGAATGATCCTCGTAAATCAATAAAGAACCACATTCTTCTTCCGTCTAGCCAGAGCTAATAATCCTCCCATCGAATTGGCAACAATTTACATTTGGGCTATGTACGAGGAGAATTGTTTTATTCGGACCTGTGTTATTCCAGATATGAGAAGAATTGCTTTTGACACCTTTTCTGTCAAGGAAAAGATCTACAATGCCTTTGAAAATGCTTGGCATTGTAGCAAGCACTTCTCTCTTCCAGATCCTCCCAACGATTACTCTTCTGCTGCTGCTCAAGAAGAATGGAATGAATTTTATTTGCATATCAACATTGAATCTGAAGAATCATACCTTCCTCAAGAAGCTCATAACCAGGATCTGACAACTTTGCAGAGCGCCGTCTTTATGAACGCCCATCCCTATTTTCCACTGGCTGAAGCACAAAATCTGGGAGCAGATAGAATGCAGGAAGAGATTCTTGACATAGCTTGGCTGTACTATGGATTTGTTCCACCACTTCTATCAACAAATTCTTCTCCATCTGGTCTGTGGTCAGAGAATAAGAAAAAGGAGTTTCTTTGGATGATTGGCATGTGCTACAATGATACTCAACACATCAACTTTGTGAACCAGCAGGTTCTTGAGGTGGATAACTTCATTCAACAACTTCTCAGAAATGAACAACCCAATGATGACATCTGGGATGGAGGTCTATCAAACCGCCAGTCTTTACTTGCTCATTCTTGGCTTAAGTTGGTTGTGAAGGCCTATTACGAGTTTGTCAACAACAAAAACAAACTTCAGCAATGTCCGCTCTATATGTTCAATTTTGGATCAGAGCGTACAGTGCCATGGAACATAGCTGTATATTCTGCCTCCACCGTTCTCATTATCTGTCAACTTGATCAAGGTTTCAAAGACAAGGACATCGTTCGCTTTCTTCTCAATCATGGCATTCCCTTCCGTACTTTGCAATTGAAGGAGACTCTTTGTCAGCGTCCTAATTGTTATTATCCTCATTTCAAGTACCCATATCAACTCGATCACACCTTTACTAAAGCCGACTTCAACTCTTACCTCAGTCTCTGTGCTGAAATTATGTCCAAGCCATATAGTGGTCGAGCTGCTCTTATGAGAGGTGGTTATCTCTGGAGAGTTGGGACACCTTATGCTTCATTTGACCATGTTCTTTTGGGACCATCAGGATTATCAGACGATGGTACCAACTTTGGAATCAAAGCTGGAGTACATCGACGATAATCTGACGCATGAAGAGGAGAACATTCTTTGTGGTGCTTATACTCTGTTAACAACACCAATCCTTAATGAAAATGATGAACTTGAAGATGGAGAAGTTATTGGTGAGATTTTTCAAAAAAAATTCTTAGAGTTTATTTGCTAAAATTACTTGCATCTTAATAGAGTATGAAGAGAAATTGGTGTCTTGGTTTCCACAACCTCGAGAATTTGAAAATAGCGGTCAAAATTACGGTCGCTGGAATGATTTTTTTTTTTTTTTTTTTTTTTTTTTTCAACAATTTATATAGCGGTGCTCGATGGCAGCCCGCTCGCTATCTACAAACACGTACGCTACACAGCCTGGTTACTAAGTTAACCACTAAAGGACAACCGCCCCCCCAACCAAGACCCTTTGGGCTCAAACGCCGAAACTCCCCAGAGGGCAACCCACCTTGCGAAAACGGTGCATTGGGATAAGGGGAGGAAACCATCGAGGTTCTGCTATGCCCCAAAGTTGTCGATCGCTGTTTGGAGGCCATGCAGCGCAGATGAGATAAGAAAAGCACCACCTGGGAGGTGGTTGAGGCCAACAAGCCAAAGATGCGCCTGCCCGAAACCAGACGCAGAAAGTTAGCGGCGCCGCAACATGCTATAATAGCAGCTGCAAGCGCGAAAGAGTGAAACGGGCACAGGTCTCCGAACCCTAAGGTCTGAGGGTGTCAATTCACCAATAAATCCTCCAACAGGAGGAATAACCCTGCCCGCCGCGCTTATCTGACACCTGAAGGGTCCCGGTTGAAGCCAAACACCGTGGGGTTGTACTTCATAAAAGATGCAATATCCCCAAGAAAGCGGGGGTAATGCACGGAGTAGCGATCGCAACAGCGAAAGAGGACGTGCTGGCGAGACTGCAGAGCAGCCCGCAAGTGCAGCCATGAGGCTCGTTGATCTTGAAGCAACAGTAATATGCTCCAATGGGTGCATGGCCAGTTATACACTGGCAAACGTGAGCGAACTCAGTGATACTGTGTCCAAAGGTTGAAAGCCAAGGTCCTCCATTGAGGTACGATGGCTGTAGCAGCCGCCCGTCAGGCTGTTGAAGCTCTAAGAATTCAGAGCCTCGGTAGGTTGGATCCTGGAAAGTGGAGCTCCACGAATCCAGGACTGAGTGTGCCGCTTGAGAGCGTAGCGCATCTATAGAGTTGTCCGTCTTGCGACGTCCAACCCTGACTTTGAGCTCGGTGACGTACTTGTGTGCTTCACCATGGATATCCCACCGCAGAGCGGATGGGACGCCTGGGCGAGCTTCAGGCGCAAACGGCTCGAAGCTCTCAGTTAAGGTGTGGACACCTTTATCCACCTCCATGATGGTGCTCTTGACTTTCCCCCGCATAGCTGGGGTCATCAACACGGCAGAGCAGGCATGAGGTTCAGCCCGTTTGAGAAGCCCCTCGCCCATCATGGAGCGAAGAGGGTGAGTGTCTGAGAGGGTAGCGACACGATACACTGCGCACGTCACCAGCTTCTTCAGCATGAGATGAACGGGGATGAGTCCAGCGAGGGCCTCAAGACCGCCTGTGGGTGAGGTGCAGAAGGCACCGGTGATCCATAGAGCAGCTTTTCGCTGCATCCATTTGAGCTGGTTCATCGCGCCCTTATTACAGGCGCCGTCGAAATACCAGAGACGATAACTGTATGTGGCAATGGGAACCACACACGACCGATATAATAGGCAGCACTGTTTAGGCGAGAGACCTCTAGTAGAGTTCCCGAGCATGCGCATGGCTTGCATGGTGGTGAACGCCTTAGTGGCATAGTAGCGGACGTGCTCATGAAACATGAGCCCGCGGTCAAAGTAGAAGCCCAAGTACCTCCAATAGGTCTTGGGCTTCAAAGGTGTAGCACGGGTATGCGGGGCGTACCCCAAATCCAGCGAGGGATTGTAGGCATCTCGTCGACGCGAAAAATGGAACAGCTCGGTCTTGTCATGTTCAAGAACGAGTGCGAAAGCAACAAAGAGAAGGTAGATAATCTTGTAGGCCTTACGCAGGCCCACATTATTATCATCAAGTTGTTTGGATTGGGCCAGAATGGTCCTGTCATCCACAAAGGAAAGCAGCGTTGTGTTGAGCGGTGCTGCTTTGATATAGAAGAGCTTCATTACCAGAGCAATGAACAGCCCAGAAATAACAGGCGAGAGAGCTGAGCCCTGCCCGACACCCATGTCCGCAGACCACGAGTCGGATTGGAAGGTGTTCCAGCAGTAAACTGTGGAGCGACCAACAAGATAAGAGGCAAAGAACTCCACCAGAACTGGCAAGAACCCTTGCTTGCGAAGTACAGCCATGAACATCTCATGGTTGATAGAAGGGAAGAACTGCATGATGTCAAAAGCCAGCACGCTAGTCTGGAGGCCCTTAACCCACCCCGCTTGCACGAGATGAGTCAGAATCAATCCAGCATCCTCAGTTGACCTTTGGTGAATGCTGCCAAGTTGGTTGGGATGGAAGATATCATGCTTGACAGCATCAAACTGTATCCTATTGGCAATCATCTTTTCGATAAGTTTACCGAAAGTGATGAGGAGTACGATTGGCCTAAAAGCCTTTGGCACAGCATAGGAGGGCTTATTCAGCTTTGGAAGGTCGCTGGAATGATCTGCTTGAGAACAAGTACTTGACTTATAGAAACCAGATTGACCAACCTCTGATTAATTCTGCATGGTGTAGCACCATTAAAAGCACCATAGTGTCTAGATGTTTTCAATTTCTTGATAATATTTCTCTTAAGTCAATCGATGAGGCTCGGTGTATCCATGTATAGAATAACTTATCCAGATTAGAAATAGCATCAGAACACAGTCACATGACATGTTGAACTTGAGTTTCAATTTCATTTGGCAACTTTCAAGACTTGCTCTTGTACCTCAGCATCCCACTAATGCTTTCAACACTTCTGCTCTCTCTTCTCATTTTAACTGCTCCTCTTGAGATATATAACTCAGAGTGCAAACTAGGTAAAATTTTGAATCTCTTTTGAATACTTGTATCATCTAACTTGAACTATAGATCCAGGGCCTTCTGCACTTTCCTCTTCTACAACAACATGGACAGAGTTTAATAACTCAGTGGCTATTGCATTGGTGTATCAAGAGCCTCAACCTACATGTTCATGTGAGCACCAGAACCATTATTGATTATCATGACTGACTTGCATTTCTTCAGCTACTCACTGGAGTTTAGAGTTAGAAACTGAGTTTAATCATGAGTTAGAGATTGGCAGCAATCCAGGCATTTTATTTAGAATTTATAAAAAGAGTCATACACCAACTTATACCAGCTTTGCTCTGCTTGGGCAATTTTTGTTCAAGATAACATCTGCTATTCTATTCTCAACAACTCAATGCATTAGATCTATAGCCATGTTTTCTACTTCTTCATTATGGTGCACTCCAGAGCAACTTTGCTATCACATCTATCTTCTATTTCTTCGACACATCACACTAAAGCACCGCTATACTGCTATAGCCACCGTTTACTGGCCAGTGCTTTCCAGGATTCCAGCACATTCATTCTGCTATATTGCACCTTTTTCTTCTTGTTGACCATCTATTGTATATGTGCTAAACTATATACAGATTCAACAGAATAAATTCTGCTCTCATGAAGCTGAATTTGAATGCTTAGCTGTTCCTGATCAATGTGCAGGAGGAGTTAAGTATGCTTCACTCCAGAATCTTCAAAATTATGCACTTTCTAAGGATCACTTATCTAGGTTTTCTTCTAGTGCTAAATTCACATTTGTGACTCAAACACCTTATAAAGACCATACATCAATAGCATCCAATGACAGTATGTTAATTTGCCGGATTCCTCTCCAACTCATCTCATCTTTTCTCAATTTAGATCAACTCAAAAATATTGCTCAACTCCATAACATACAAGGTGATCCAAAGTACAAGCGATCAGAATTTCTTAAGCAGATTGAACAACACACCTGCAGTCTGCAATGTTTTGACTTGGTTTCAGTTTGGAAATCAATATCTGATTGCTCTAATAGCCCATGCCAGCAGAATTATTGTGCCAGAAAGAAGAAGAATATTTTAAAAACTTATCAAACCCTGTTATATCTGGTACAATGGCTTCTCCAGCCTCTTCTTCGGTGGTCTATCCCTTTGTCGGGCCCTCTATGAATCTTCAGGGACCCTCAGACCCCAGATTTGTTGTCCCTAATGGCACACTTATATCCTCACCTTCCCGCCATGCCAATTTTCCTTATATTTATGAAGTACCAGATCATCCGCTCATCCTACACTGGCAGTATGTCAAGAGAATTCTGGTTTACATTCAAGACACATCTGATGAAGCCCTCCACTCTATGTACAGTTGGGAAAATAAATTATATGTGCCTCTTGGACCTGATAACCTTATGAAACAATATGGTATGCTCTAATTATGCTGTTATTTTTGTCTCAGTCATTAACACCTAATTGTCAGGACTATTTTGTATCACCGATGGCACTATTATATATGCTAGACCTATTGGAAATGTTGAATCTGAAAAGGATCTAATTGTTGCATGGTGTTTTGATGGGTAAATTATATTCTTTTCTTTTAAGAGATGATTCTGACACCATATATCTTAGTATGAGGCTACTCAACCAGACTCTCAGAGAGGACCTCCTCCGTCCCCGTGATGAGATTATGGGGGACAAAAGCCAGGTCACTCTGGACAGGCCTATTATGATCAATGGTGTATTGGTGGGAGGAACTGGCTTTGAATGCCACCGTTATGGAGGTGGATGAGTGCATCCACACCTTAACTGAGAGCTTCGAGCCCTTTGTGCCTGAAGCTCACCCAGGTGATCGGTTACTGGACCGCTATGCAGACTGGCTCCACTTTGACGAGCACGATCCTACCCAGGATAGGCGTCCATATCTAGATGAGCTCATCGCGAGAGCGAGGGCCGACCCACTAACAGTACTGGCTGCAATTGATGGTTCTGTCCCTCAGTCCAACCAGTATCAGGCAGCTTCGGCTGCCATAATCTACAAGGGACATTGTGAGCTCGAGAGGACTCGCTATGTCTCTGGCAGAGTCACCGCCCCAGATGCGGAACTCAATGCCATCTCGTGTGCAGTGCGCCTTGCTGTCAAGCAGGCAAACTGCCAGCATATCATGGTCTTTACTGACTCTATGGGCTCGGCCCATAGAGCGGTTGACCCTGGCGTGCATTCTGGTCAGGCTTTTAGCCTGTCAGTTTGTCGCGTTCTTCAAGAGTGGTTTGAGGCGGATGATCTCCGCTGCATTACCTTCGTCTACGTCCCATCCGCTCTGCAGTGGGATATCCATGGTGAAGCACACAAGTACGTCACCGAGCTCAAAGTCAGGGTTGGACGTCGCAAGACGGACAACTCTATAGATGCGCTACGCTCTCAAGCGGCACACTCAGTCCTGGATTCGTGGAGCTCCACTTTCCAGGATCCAACCTACCGAGGCTCTGAATTCTTAGAGCTTCAACAGCCTGACAGGCGGCCGCTACAGCCATCGTACCTCAATGGGGGACCTTGGCTTTCAACTTTCGGACACAGTATCACTGAGTTCGCCCGTGTTTGCCGGTGTATAACTGGCCACGCACCCATTGGAGCGTACTACCGACGCTTCAAGATCAATGAGCCTCACGGCTGCACTTGCGGGGCTGCCTTGCAGTCCCGCCAGCATATTCTCTTTCGCTGTCGCGATCGTTACTCAGTGCATTACCCCCGCTTCCTTGGGGATATTGCAGCTTTTATGAAGTACAACCCTACGGCGTTTGGCTTCACCCGGGACCCTTCGGGGGTCGGATAATCGCCTCGGGCGGGGTTATTCCTCCTTTTGGAGGATTTATCGGTGAATTGACACCCTCGGACCCTAGGGTCCGGAGACCTGCGCCCGGTTCACTCTTTTGCGCTTGCGGCCGCTATTATAGCGGGTTGCGGCGCCACTAACTTTCTGCGTCTGGTTTCGGGCAGGCACATCTTTGGCTTGTCGGCCTCAAGACACCCTGCCACCTCCCGGGTGGTGCTTTGAATGCCGGGGTATCGGTCCTGGTGTGAAGGATTTACAATGCTTTGGTATAAGCATGTTGCACCAACATTCACCCAACATTGTGGGACCTGCAGCTAGTAGTAAAATCTATAATGGCAAGCTGACACCAAATGAAAAGATCTGTCAAAAAATTGCAAAGGTAAGATTTTGTAATTGTAAAAGAACACAAGTCTGAATTTTTTAAATCTATGGCAGCTATGTGCCACAGTCTCAATGACGTCAATGAGAATGTATGCACCAGCTGAAATGCTAGAAATTCTGGAAGAACATTCTCGTTACCACAACGTACCTAGGATTGGTATTGAAGATAACTTTGCCTTTCCTGTGATGCAACTCAATATAGCACCAGCTGTAAGCTATGAAGAATGCACTGGTAAGTTTGTGTTAGATATCTAAGAGGCTTATTCTGAGTGTGTTTTAGAAAAGGGTCTTGAAGGGATGGGTGAATTTGGATCAACAGATGGTCATATTGATGGCTTTGATTGGGTTGCAGCAATGACTTCAATGATTGCGAATAGCAATCTGCCAAGCAACTATGAACCTGGAAGATTCCACCTTTTAGTTCTCGGATGCTACTTTGTTCTGCAGCCTTTAGATCAACAATTTATATAGCGGTGCTCGATGGCAGGCCGCTCGCTATCTACAAACACGTACACTACCCGGCCTGGGTACTAAGTTAACTACTAAAAGACGTCTGCCCCCCCAACCACGAGCCTTGTGGCTCAAACGCCTAAACTCCCACAAAGCCAGACCCACCTCGCAAAAATGGTGACGTGGGATAAGGGGAAGAGACCATCAAGGCCCCGCTAAACCCCAAAGCCGTCGGACGCTGTTCGGAGGCCACGCAGCGCAAATGAAGTAAGAGAGCACCACCCGGGAGGTGGCAGGGTGTCTTGAGGCCGACAAGCCAAAGATGTGCCTGCCCGAAACCAGACGCAGAAAGTTAGTGGCGCCGCAACCCGCTATAATAGCGGCCGCAAGCGCAAAAGAGTGAACCGGGCGCAGGTCTCCGGACCCTAGGGTCCGAGGGTGTCAATTCACCGATAAATCCTCCAAAAGGAGGAATAACCCCGCCCGAGGCGATTATCCGACCCCCGAAGGGTCCCGGGTGAAGCCAAACGCCGTAGGGTTGTACTTCATAAAAGATGCAATATCCCCAAGAAAGCGGGGGTAATGCACGGAGTAGCGATCGTGACAGCGAAAGAGAATATGCTGGCGGGACTGCAAGGCAACCCCGCAAGTGCAGCCGTGAGGCTCGTTGATCTTGAACCGACGGTAATACGCTCCAATGGGCGCGTGGCCAGTTATACACCGGCAAACACGGGCGAACTCAGTGATACTGTGTCCAAAGGTTGAAAGCCAAGGTCCCCCATTGAGGTACGATGGCTGTAGCGGCCGCCCGTCAGGCTGTTGAAGCTCTAAAAACTCAGAGCCTCGGTAGGTTGGATCCTGGAAAGTGGAGCTCCACAAATCCAGGACTGAGTGCGCAGCTCGGGAGCGTAGCGCATCTATGGAGTTGTCCGTCTTGCGACGTCCAACCCTGACTTTGAGTTCGGTGACGTACTTGTGTGCTTCACCATGGATATCCCACTGCAGAGCGGATGGGACGTAGACGAAGGTAATGCAGCGGAGATCATCCGCCTCAAACCACTCTTGAAGAACGCGACAAACTGACAGGCTAAAAGCCTGACCAGAATGCATGCCAGGGTCAACCGCTCTGTGGGCCGAGCCCATAGAGTCAGTAAAGACCATAATATGCTGGCAGTTTGCCTGCTTGACAGCAAGGCGCACTGCACACGAGATGGCATTAAGTTCCGCGTCTGGGGCGGTGACTCTGCCAGAGACATAGCGAGTCCTCTCGAGCTCGCGATGTCCCTTGTAGATTATAGCAGCCGAAGCCGCCTGATACTGGTTGGACTGAGGGACAGAGCCATCAGTTGCAGCCAGTACTGTTAGTGGGTCGGCCCTCGCTCTCACAATGAGCTCGTCTAGATTGGAGCTCCACGAATCCAGGACTGAGTGCGCAGCTCGAGAGCGTAGCGCGTCTATAGAATTGTCCGTCTTCCGACGTCCAACCCTGACTTTAAGTTCGGTGACATACTTGTGTGCCTCACCATGGATATCCTACCGCAAAGCAGATGGGACGTAGACGAAGGTGATGCGGCGGAGATCATCCGCCTCAAACCACTCTTGAAGAGTGCGACAAACTGATAAGCTCAAAGCCTGACCAGAATGCACGACGGGGTCAACCGCTCTATGGGCTGAGCCCATAGAGTCAGTGAAGACCATGATATGTTGGCAGTTCGCCTGCTTGACAGCAAGGCGCACTGCACACGAGATGGCATTAAGTTTTGCGTCTGGGGCGGTGACTCTGCCAGAGACATAACGAGTCCTCTCGAGCTCGCGATGTCCCTTGTAGATTATAGCAGCCGAAGCCGCCTGATACTGGTTGGACTGAGGGACAGAGCCATCAGTTGCAGCCAGTACTGTTAGTGGGTCGGCCCTCGCTCTCGCGATGAGCTCGTCTAGATACGGACGCCTATCCTGGGTAGGATCGCGCTCGTCAAAGTGGAGACGGTCCGCAAAGCGGTCCAGTAACCGATCGCCTGGACGAGCTTCGGGCGCAAAAGGCTCGAAGCTCTCAGTTAAGGTGTGGACACGCTCGTCCACCTCCATACCTTTAATGGTCATGAACTTCTGCAGTCTCACTCGACATGGCAGATCTCCTCCAATTGCACCTCCAGGAGAGGAAGTAGCACACAATGCTCTTCGATTTGTCTTGGTCTCATATTCTCCATGATCTATAATGCTTGGAAATGGAAATAGCATGATTCCATTGGCAAATTGGACAAAAAATCAGAACTTTTCAATTCTGCCAGAAATTTCTCGCTATATGTAAGCTTATTCTGAATACTTGATGAGCAGATTATTTATAAAGATTTTAGCAGATATGATGGCACATCAGTTCCTGAATCAGCAAATTATGCTATCGATGGAGCTGTTATCATGGAGCCTCAATCACTCATCAATTTTTTCTTCAACAATATGTATCTTTTAGTGTGGTACTTTGGAACACAACTTCCATTTGAAGAATTTGACATCAATCCTGTCAAACTCATGTCCTCAATTACTGTAAAGCATAAAGGACAGGATATCTCTCCTCGTCATTGGCTAGAAGCACCCAGAAAGAACTCAAACCATAAAATGCTATTGCTCAAGATGGTTGACTACATGGAGAAGCATTCAAAGTACATGCCATCTCAAGTCGAGGTTGACTTTGATTTAATGAGAAGAGAAATTGAGGAAGGACAACCAGGAATTGCTCAAAGAAAGAAGAAGAATGATACTCAAGTTCCAAAAAATACTTCTAAGAGAAAACCAAATAATGCTAATGATAGTGGGTACCTTCTATTATATGATTTATTTGCTGAATCTCATTATATTCATATAAGCAGATTCATCAAACAAGAAGCAAAAAACAGTTTCCACTCCGGTTTATACAACTCCAGCCGACAAAATGGGAGGAATGATGGCTCATGACCTGGCTGAATTTTATATATTTGAATCACCAGGTAAGAGTATCAAACATATTGCACTTATAAAATGTGCTGAATATAGTATAAGCATCTCAGTCAAAAGGAAAGGAAAAAGCTGTCTTCAGTAATGTAAACATGGTATGTGTTTCACCCTATCTGGTACAATTGTGCACTTATTAATATATTATTCCAGCATAATGAAGAAGATGAGCGGCTAGAAGAAGTACATTTATTTTTTAAACAAATTGTTGTTTATTCTAAAGCAAAAATCTCAGAGCGATACTTCACAAAGTGAATTTGAGGACAATACTCCAGCAAATGCAAAACCCTTACGGAAGATATGGCTTGATCCTAAAGAAGAGCTACAATACGCTGTTTTTACAATGCCAACGATGTCAACTTCAACTCATGAAAATATCCTATCAGATGTCAACATGGATGCTGATGGTCCTACACCATATTCTGGTAAGGAATATTAATTCATATTCCTATTTCATATTCCTTATTTGTTGACTAAGTTCAAATTGTTCAGGCCCTTTTGCATCAATTAACATCAATACTATTGTTGATATAATTGAGAATATTCAGTATGGTATTGCTGCTCGTATGGAGGAAAAGCAACAGAAGGAATCTCAAACAACTGGAAATATCTGTGCCAACACTTTGCATGCCATTTCAGAGAAACCTGACAGTTGGACAACTGCAAAGAAGCTGGCATCATTTTGGACTGATTTTGAATATATTGTCAAACAAGCTCATACTTCAAATCTGGAGACCATGATGATGAAAAGTCGTCGCCTCTTTCTCTCGAACGCCCACTTGTCAACAAGCGCAAACAACCAGCTCACTGTCTCGCACATCGTCTAGCGCTTTATCAACAAGCCAGAAGACTACTTTTGATTGTTCGTACCGCTATCGCAAACCATGTCCGACCTTCCACCAAGAGGTCGGGGCGCGAGGCCCCCTGGGGCGGTTCCTAGGAGCCGTCGTGGGGGGGGTTCAGGCTCCGCACCACCAGCCATCCCACCATTGGTCGCTGGCTCATCGTCCTTTGGCAGTGGTGCCTCGCCAATCTCACCAGACCCTACTTCGACTAGGGCCACATACTTGACAGTCGTTCCGTCTCAATCGCGCAACACGTCGCCTCGCCGCAGGTCCCATTCCACCATGGGTTCCACCCATTCATCCGGATACGAGTCTGACTCGGGGATGGCCCACCCCCAGGAGATCGAGGTCGAGGGCGCTCAGGAAGGCGAAGAGGTCTCGAGGGACCCCTCTGTCGACCTTCTCTTAGGTCAATATGCCTTGAAGTTCCGAGATACCATCGAGGACCTTCCTGGCGATCTCGAGGTATTGACCACCTCCATTGCGAAGGCCACAGATTGGGTTCTGCGGGCCGTGCACCATGATCTTTCCATCGATGGGGGCAATGCCTTCGTGGCCCAGATGACATCCTTCGTGAACGCCGTCATGGCCACCGACTTTAGTCGCATTTGTGGACCCGGCGAACTCGACAACTTCTCACTCGCCTCTCTTCTCGAGGCCGAGACATCTTCCAAGGATGAGCCGACTATCCACCCGGCTCCTGTATTCAGGCCCCCTCCTCCTGTTGCCCGTGGGCTGCTCGATGAGGGTGTCGTTGACGTAGGGGCTCTGCCCAACGTCCTCATGCAGGCACTGGACAACCTTAATTGCCCAGCCTCCCCGTCTCGCATCCCCGCTTCCAAGAAGCGTAAGGGTGTTGATCGTCCGGTCCCACCTCCTCCTCCTCAGAAGAGCAAGGTGGCCTACTCTCGCCCTGGTCCGCCACCGCCGATCAATTGTGCCACCAAACCCAAGCCCCATCCAACGACATGAGCAGGGATCGCACCACAGGCTGCTCCGATGCCTCCCCCGCCTCCTGCCTTGGGACCGCAACGTCATGGGCCTTCTCCTCCTCCCGCATTCCCAATGGGCCTGATGAAGACTTCAACTCATCAGTCCGTTCCTTCCTTTACTTCTGAGGGCCCCACCCAGAAGCAGGTTCTTGTGTCGTTCGGGGGTACCCCTCCTGACCTCACGAAGTTCTTCACCGAGTCGGCTGTCCATGCGGCCAACAGGTACCTCAGGGATGGTTGATCTATGCTTAAGGTCACCTCCATCGTCCGCGCCTATGACGGTTTGTCATTGGTCACCCCCGCTGTTGCCAGCCTGTCCGACCTGGACATACTGCGCAACTTCATCCGCGAAAGCCTCCCAATGGGTACTCCATTCGAGGGTGCACTCCCGTCGTCAACATCTTTCATAAAGATCCTCGATATTCCCTACTTTGATCCAAAGGGTTGAAGATCACCCAGGAGGCGCTTGAAAAGGCCCTCCATACCTCAGTTCACGCTGAGGTCTTCGCATATCTGAGCACCAAGCCTCGGATCGACCGCAATTCGGCGCACTCAACATCGTGCACCGTCTACTGCAACATTTGGGACTCCCAGCAGGGAACCCACACCAAGAAGGCCCTTGGCCAACCGATCTTCCTCGCTGGGTGGTCCTGCGCAATCAGGCCTGCCACATGACACACCGGGGTTCCGCTATGCCAGCGTTGCTGGAAGTGGGGCCATCCCACCGTCGCCTGCAAGGCGAAACAACTCTCTTGCCCCATCTGCTCGGGTCCGCATGAGCAGAAGGAGCACCATCAACATGCGGGATGTTGCAAGGGCAACGTGAAAGCAAAGCCTCCTGTGCCGCCCACCCCTCGCGACCAGCCTTGCCTCCATAAGGGCCGCTGTGTCAATTGCCACAAGGACCACGCCGCCAACTCAGCTTTGTGCAAGTTCTGGGCCCATTGCTACGACGGTGAGTGGATCATGGCCGAGTATCATCAGGTACATGAGCACGCTGCTTGCCGCCAACTTACTAACCCCTGAACCTAGACTAATGTTGGGAAACCATCAGGATCTAAGTAGTGGGCTTCGTATTTACTGTCAGCATGTTCGTTCGTCATACCTATGCACACGTAGACACTCTTCTTGAAATTTGTAAAAACAGATTTGATATTTTATTTTTCCAAGAAACCCCTTGGAATTTCATAAGACACGCACCGTCCACCACTAGCATGGAGGGCGATGAGGTTATTGGTGCACCGAAGCATCCCGACTGGCTGCAAATGGTGCACATTAAGGAAGGGGAAGTTCCCCACGTGATTGCCTATGTTTCGACTAGGCTATCCCGCTATCATCCCGCTATGCGCCGCGACATCGTCGACCATCACGACATCTCGTCCTCTCCCTCTTTAGTGGGGGGGGCGAGGTTCTTAACTTAATGAACGTCTACTCTGACGATCAACACACAGCCATTGAGCACCTCGCTGCTCGTGTGCATTCTTTACCACCTTTCATTTATATGGCTGGTGACTTCAACTGCGTGTCGACGACTTGGGATGACTATGAGCATGGCGAGTCGTCAACGGCAATATCCCTGCAGGACACCGCATCTCAGATCGGCCTCGAGTGGGCATGACCTTCTAACCATGGACCGACAAGGATCAGTCCTAATCCAAACCAGTTGGATCTTGTATTCTTAGCTCCATCTGAGATCCTAATCTCGATGCCCAGATTGGAGCACAATCTCCAGGGTCCGTCAGATCATGTCCCGATCTGCACAGATCTTGATATCAGTCCTGAACCGCCCAGATCTGGGTGACGGACAATTAAACCCAGAAGTGAGGCTGAAAAGTCTTTCATTTCGGATATTCTCTGGGATCTTGCAGCTATTCATGTCGCAGCCCTGGCAACCAAGGAAGGCGTTGAAGCTTTAGCCGATGCTATCATGACAGCGTTCTCGGACGTGTGGCTTGCCCATTTTTTTTTTTTTTTGATCAACAATTTATATAGCGGTGCTCGATGGCAGCCTGCTTGCTATCTACAAACACGTACGCTACACGGCCTGGGTACTAAGCAAACTACTAAAAGACGTCCGCCCCCCCAACCACGAGCCTTATGGCTCAAACGCCTAAACTCCCATAAAGCCAGACCCACCTCGCAAAAATGGTGATGTGGGATAAGGGGAGGAGACCATTGAGGCCCCGCTAAACCCCAAAGCCGTCGGACGCTGTTCGGAGGCCACGCAGCGCAAATGAGATAAAACAGCACCACCCGGGAGGTGGCAGGGTGTCTTGAGGCTGACAAGCCAGAGAGGTGCCTGCCCAAAACCAGACGCAGAAAGTTAGCGGCGCCGCAATCAGCTATATAATAGCGGCCACAAGCGCGAAGAAATAGTGGAAGGTGCAGGTCTTCGAACCCTAGAGCTCGGTGGTGTCGATTCACCATAAATCCTCCGAAAGGAGGAACAACCCTGCCCACAACAATTATCCAACACCTGAAGGGTCCTGGTTGAAGCCAAACGCAGTAGGGTTGTACTTCATAAAAGATGCAATATCCCCAAGAAAGCGGGGGTAATGCACGGAGTAGCGATCACGACAGCGAAAGAGAATGTGCTGGCGTGACTGCAGAGCAGCCCCGCAAGTGCAGCCATGAGGCTCATTGATCTTGAAGCGACGGTAATACACTCCAATGGGCACGTGGCCAATTATACACTGGCAAACACGAGCGAACTCAGTGATACTGTGTCCGAATGTTGAAAGCCAAGGTCCCCCATTGAGGTACGATGGCTGTAGCAGCCGCCCGTCAGGCTGTTGAAGCTCTAAGAATTCAGAGCCTTGGTAGGTTGGATCTTGGAAAGTGGAGCTCCACGAATCCAGGACTGAGTGCGCAGCCCATGAGCGTAGCGCGTCTATGGAGTTGTCCGTCTTGCGACGTCCAACCCTGACTTTGAGTTCGGTGACGTACCTGTGTGCCTCACCATGAATATCCCACCACAGAGCGGATGGAACGTAGATAAAGGTGATGCGGTGGAGATCGTCCGCCTCAAACCACTGTTGAAGGACGCGACAGACTGACAGGCTAAAAGCCTGACCAGAATGCACGCCAGGGTCAACCGCTCTATGGGCCGAGCCCATAGAGTCAGTAAAGACCATGATATGCTGGCAGTTTGCCTGCTTGACAGCAAGGCGCACTGCACACGAGATGGCATTGAGTTCCGCATCTGGGGCGGTGACTCTGCCAGAGACATAGCGAGTCCTTTCGAGCTCACGATGTCCCTTGTAGATTATGGCAGCCGAAGCCGCCTGATACTGGTTGGACTGAGGGACAGAGCCATCAGTTGCAGCCAGTACTGTTAGTGGGTCAGCCCTTGCTTTCGCGATGAGCTCGTCAAGGTATGGGCGCCTATCCTGGGCAGGATCACGCTTGTCAAAGTGGAGACGGTCCGCAAAGCGGTCCAATAACCAATCACCTGGGCGAGCTTCGGGCGCAAAAGGCTCGAAGCTCTCAGTTAAGGTGTGGACGCGCTCATCCACCTCCATAACAGTACTCTTTACTTTCCCTTGCATGGCTGGGGTCATCAAGGCGGCGGAGCGAGCATGTGGTGCGGCTCACTTAAGGAGTCCCTCGCCCATCATAGAGCGAAGAGGGTGGGTGTCCGAGAGGGTGGCGACGCGATACACTGCACACGTTGCCAACTTCTTCAGCATAAAGTGGACGGGGATGAGACCTGCTAAGGCCTCGAGGGTGAGGTGCGGAAAGCACCCGTGATCCATAGAGCAGCTTTCTGCTGCATCCGTTTCAACTGGTTCATCGCGCCCTTATTGCCAGCACCATCGAAATACCAGAGACGATAGCTGTATGTGGCAATGGGAACCACACACGACTGATACAAGAGTCGGCGCTGTTTAGGTGAAAGACCTCTAGTGGAGTTGCCGAGCATGCGCATGGCCTGCATGGTGGTAAACGCCTTGGTGGCGTAGTAGCGAACGTGCTCCTGAAATGTGAGCCCGTGGTCAAAGTAGAAGCCCAAGTACCTCCAATAGGTCTTGGGCTTCAAAGGTGTAGCGCCGGTATGTGGGGTGTACCCCAAATCCAGCGAGGGATTGTAGGCATCTCGTTGACGCGAAAAGTGGAACAGCTTGGTCTTGTCGTGTTCAAGAACGAGCGCGAAGGCAACAAAGAGAAGGTAGATAATCTTGTAAGCCTTACGCAGGCCACATTATTATCATCGAGTTGTTTGGATTGGGCCAAGATGGTCCCATTGTCCACAAAGGAGAGTAGCGTTGTGTTGAGCGGTGCCGCTTTGATATAGAAGAGCTTCATTACCAGAGCAATGAACAGCCCAGAAATAACAGGCGAGAGAGCTGAGCCCTGCCCGACACCCACGTCCGCAGACCGCGAGTCGGATTGGAAGGTGTTCGAACAGTAAACTGTGGAACGACCAACAAGATAGGAAGCAAAGAACTCCACCAGGACCGGCGAGAACCCTTGCTTACGCAGTACAGCATGAACATCTCATGGTTGATAGAAGGGAAGAACTGTGTGATGTCAAAAGCCAGCGCGCTAGTCTGGAGACCCTTAACCCACCCCGCTCACACGAGATGGGTCAGAATCAATCCAGCATCCTCAGTGGACCTCTGGCGGATGCCGCCAAGTTGGTTAGGATGGAAGATATCATGCTTGACAGCGTCAAACTGTATCCTATTGGCAATCATCTTCTTGATAAGTTTACCGAAAGTGATGAGGAGTACAATCGGCCTGAAGGCCTTTGGTACGGCATAGGAGGGCTTGTTCGGTTTCGGGACAATAACCGATAGCGACTCCTTGAATATACGCGGCCAATGACCCACCCGAAGGCAGGCATTGGCCAGCACGATGAAGAGCGCAAGGACGTGTTTATCCTTGAGCAACTCCTTTAGGTGGACCCATGTAACATGGTCCGGTCCTGGTGCAGAGGAGTTGGAACACCCCTTAAGGGTGCTCAGCAACTCATGCTCTGAGAAGTCAGCCCACTCGCGGACCGGCTCATCGGGAAGCTCATCTAATACTGAGGCGTCGTACTCGCGGCCAGAGGCCGAGTTGTACATGCCGTGCAGGGCGTCCCATAGGTTGTCCATATCGTGGCAAGGCTGGTGGCGCGATTGATCGGCGGAGGCGGACCAGGGTGAGAGTAGGCCACCTTGCTCTTCTTCTGAGGAGGAGGTGGGACCGGACAATTGACACCCTTATGCTTCTTAGAAGCAGGGATGCGAGATGGGGAGGCCGGGCGACCGAGGTCGTCCAGTGCCTGCATGAGGACGTTGGGCGGGGCCCCTACGTCACCGACACCCTCGTCGAGCGGCCCACGGGCAGCAGGAGGAGGAGGCCTAAAAACGGGAGCCGGGTGGATGGTCAGCTCGTCCTTAGAAGATGTCTCGGCCTCGAGGAGAGAGGCGAGCGAGAAGTTGTCGAGTTCACCTGGTCCGCGAATACGACTGAAGTCGGTGGCCATGACGGCGTTCACGAAGGACGTCATCTGGGCCAAGAAGGCATCGCCCCCATCGATGGTGAGCGGATTGTGGTGCACGGCCTGCAGAACCCAGTCTGTGGCCTTCGCAATGGAGGTGGTCAATACCTCGAGATCGCCAGGAAGATCCTTGACTGTGTCTCGCAACTTCAAGGTGTTTTTTGTTTCCTGAAGTAGGTCGACGGA